CTGTAGAGACGTATGGTCATCGTTTTGTAGAACGAATTCTTGGATTTGCAACGAAGAGAGCTGGAAAACATATGTGAATCAAAATTGTCGCTACAGTTGTGGACTCTGTCAAGGTTAGTTGTCAAAGAATGACCAAAAAAATACTCGAAAATACATATTCTGCAATCCATCTTGTGTCATTTTTTATGATACATATATCGATATCACACTTTGAAAAACGCTTTTTCATAAAATTGATGTCTAAAAATATTAGAAATATTATGATGTCGACGTCGAAAGGGATCTTTTTAAGCTGAAAAGACGTCCTAAGCCAGAACTCTCTTTTCAGGCAGTAAAAAGGTTTTTTTTAGTATTTCTTTTATGTAAGTTCTTTTTAAAGATAACGCTGGCAAATGTAGTCATGGATAATGGAATGATAGATATTTTGATCTTGGTAAACAAAATGTAATTTATCATCTACAATTCTAATTGGCTAATAAAAACCAGTGCAAAAAGTCATGTGAGTTTGCCAAGGTAAATCAGAATTTTAGCAAATCTTACTTTAATGGCATCAAAAAAGAATTTTTCTTGCCTTTTACATCTCTTATCGTTAAGTAATATACACTCGACCAGTATAAAAGGTATTCTTATAAAGAATAAACTTTCAAGCTATGAAATATTTAGTCTCCTTTGCAGCCTCCCCTTTTGTCGGGCTTCCTGTCCCTCTTTTGGGAGGGACAGGAAGCCCGACAAAAGGGGAGGCTAGGCGAAGGAGACTATGAAATATTGTAAAAAACGATCGTCCACCATTGGTTATTGTGACGTCAGTCCAGATACACTCAAAATTTTCACAGCGAAATAATGACTTTGATTTTCTACTCAAACGACAGTAGAACTAAAAGTGATAAAAAAAGGAGCCTAATAATGAAATGGAAAAAAAAGGAGCCTAATAATGAAATGGAAACAATACTAAAAATTGCATTGTATTTCTAATTCTGAGTTTGTAAGAATTAATAGCCGCACACACCACATATGATTGAGAAGATGGCAGGGGCGGATACAGTGGGGGTGAACTGGGTGAACGTTCACCCCCCTTTTCCCTGGATAAATTGAATATAGAAATATTCATATCAAGGAAATAGGGAAATAATTGGTTGATATTTCGATAAACAACACTTTTCAAAAGGACTAACACTTTTTAGCGTCTCGGGCATCTAAGAACACACATGCATTCGCGGTGCTTTGGTACGTTTGGCGGGAAAATTAAATATGTTAACTCTTAAAAAATCAAAAGTCACCCCCCTAGAAAAAATCCTAGATCCGCCCCTGGATGGTTTTAAATATTGACTTTTCGATAACAGCAAAACTATAACGTGCTATGGCCGMCTAATTATTTATTTGAACTGAAACACTCCAACCCAAATATACTTTGCATTTCTCGGTTTTTAAAATTCAATGAGCCTCCTCAAAATTGTAGAATGTATAGTTCAAGTATTGCATCTACCCACAAAGAAAGCTGGGTATCAACGCAAAGGTTGTGCAGATAACTATTATGTTATTGTGTTTTTTTCGTTATCAAGAATAATTTTCAACATTGTTTCTTTTACATAAGAATAGCATTGTTTTAAAAAAGCTCAATTGCAATCATGAACCGTTGCGACCGTTTGCTTTGATTTATGGCTATCTTTTGAGGAAATTTGTTTTCTGATTGGTATACAAAGATGGTTTGGTAGGTTATCGTTTTGAAGAAAATTGTGCAAATGTTTTCGAATGGCAAACCTAAGTTGAATTCAATGCAAAATTAATTGGGATGATTTTTTTATACTCATCTTCTATATTTTACATATTTTATTCCAAGTGGATGTGAAATTCTATAAACAAATCAAATTAACAACTTTCCTAAATCTGACAGCTGTCATTATAACTGCTTGTGTGTTGTTTTTATAGGAAGAGTGARACGAMATGCATCTTTCCAACTCTGCAGCAGCGCCATCRTSCCTCCTCCCTGCARTCCTGACAAGTGGGTCTACACGTGCAAGACTAGCGCTGGTTACGTGACATGCAAGAGTAACGCACTCACTCAAATGATCACGTGCTCGCCATCTGTAAACACCGATATATCGTGTTGTAGTATCAAATGCTCAAATTGACCGAAATTATCATTGCAAACGTATGTAGGATTCTGTAGGGGTGTAGCCAGAGGATTCAAGGGCGGGAGACAGCACAAAACGAAAATAGAACATAAAACTACGTTGTTTACACTCAATGCGAAATAAATGTTAGCATGATAATTCATCGCCAATGCGCAAAACAAACCTCTTTACCTCGTATCCAAGTTTTAGAAAATTTCTATTACAATTGTTATTGTTCTTATTGGTATTCAGTGTTAAGACAATGAAGGTAAAGAAAAGAAAATTATTAATACTTATATCCCTCCCATCAAAGTTTCTAGTTCTCAGGGCATTGCTAGAGTGGTTTTCATTAACCCGTGAAACACACGYTAGCGTATTTATCGCTATTACACTTTTTATGAAAACCACTCTAACTCCTGTTTTCGGCTTGTTATATTCGATTCTTTATAGCTACTGATTTWATATTAAGCGAGCTGACCCGGTTTAACGGTCTGGTTCGTCTTTTGTTATGCCTTTCTTGAAGACACAAAACAAGAGAAATTAGCAACTTGTAGCAAGGGCGAAAGATCCAGCTCGCTTTATATAATCATTCCCATTTCCTGATGTAATACTGTGGGAGACTGGAACCAGAACCTTTATTCTAGCATTTTGGAAAGGCTGTMAATCGTGCTTATTTGATCTGATTAACAACAAACATTATTAGTTTCTTATAGAAAGTGTAATGTTTCGTTCTGTATAAGTCTAATTCCAACACCGTGCTAATTAAGGGACTTGTATCCRGCCTTGCACGGTATGAAATCAGTAATAGATAATTTCAAATATTGTAAAAGTATCAATAAAAAGAGCATGTTTGATTTCATCTTGTTTTTGTTTCTTCATTATTCACGAAAAGTTCAAAAAGAAAATCGTCCATTGTTATAAGGGAATCATCCATGAGATAGAAATACTTGTGTTTGAATCAATTTTTTTAAAAACTTTTTTTTTAAAGAATCAAGTTTAAAGTTTCAGACGGAAAATTTCTAAGTTGAACGTAGTAGTTAATTAGGTATTCAAGGGCAATAAGTACATTAGTATTCAAACTTCGATATAAAGCACTTGAATAAACAATGAGCTGTCGAATAAGCTAGATACAACACTATGAATAACAAAGAAAACTGAATCAAGTATGAAATAAGTGTGGTTATTCATGAATGCCGTTGCACAACCATATATGGAAGTCGTATGACAGATCCTTCTCGTTTTAGTAGATATGAAGTGCGAAAGCTATAACTTCCATCATGCTTTGTTCAATATGATGATGGCATCGCTGCACATTTTGCCTATTCTATGAAATCAACGGTAGGTACTTAGAAAAGTGACCTTATTATAAAGAGAAGTTACCTCAAATTTCCCGTTATCACGTGATGCTTGACGTCACTTATCTTGATTGACGCATAATACTAGGTAGAATATGTTTGTACGGTACTCAACCTCATTCCCAGGACTTCCCTGCTAGCTTTTTTTCAAAATGGAGGGCAGAGAAAGCCCTGGCATCGGTTGGTCAAGTGACACCAACATAGCATGGCTGTTAAGTGTGGATATACCGCTTAATGCAGGCGCTAAATGATAATGTGCGGAGCACCTTTTTTTCAATTTTTCAGAAAATTCTGAAAATTCTGACAAAAAGTTACAACAATTGAGACAGCAATGAAAACAGAGAAAAATATCAACCAATAAATATTCATATTCCGATATCAGGGCCTTTTCTCCTCTAGGAAAAAAATACTTGGAACGTGGTTGGCACGATCTGATGTACATAAAGTGAAATCAAACAGAAAAGCATCTACTTTTCCTACGATAAGGTAATATGTGACGTCACCTGGCATCGAAATCAAAAACCATGCAGCAATAATAAGAAAATGATTCTGGGTAAGAACTGCAGGAGTTCTCACTGCCTTACGTAAAGTGAACATACAGTGATGGGTTGCCTGTGTCAAACTCTACATTCTTGGTAAACTGAGGCCCGGACGTCCTGCAGAAATTCCGAGTAATTAGAAACAACGGACGTGACTCGCTGCCTTGGGTCATGACCCGATAGCGATGAGTACAACGCGTTATTGATCACAGTTCCGCATCCAGTCTCATACTGTTTGCTTGGCAGAGTCTGACTACATATTTGTCGGTATGTATTGCATGTACATATACATTAAGGATGTAGTCTTATTACTTATGTCTTGCAACAAACAAGTAACCGATCTGATGCTGTACTTTAGTTCAAAATATACTTCGGGTTTCTTGATCTAATGGAAAGCGAAGTACTGCGAGATACTAATCAAGCTGTGTTTCTAGTTGCTTTTTTTATCAGTTAATCGAAGCATATATTCAGTAATAATTAGTTAATACATGATAAATCTAGTGTTAGCTGAAAAAGTCGTAAAAAGCAGCTTACAAATATACTTTGTTACTGCTTTATCAAGCTGTCAGTTTTGTAAAGATAGCATTTCAAAGATTTGCACATGCCTCTTGTCGATTACCGTATAGGACGAATTTAGCAGCTTCAAACAATTCGAAGTGCGATTGTTTGCTACAGATTTGGCTACTGCCGGTCAATTAGATAGACAAATATGTATTTCATCGCCTTATAATAACTGCATCTAAAATTTATCGTAATTTAATATTTCTTGCTGACCTTTTTTACTGAATATGTACTTGAACTGCATTTCTCTCAACTTCGTCCAAAATAGGTGTATTGACAATCTTTCCGAGTTAAACAGTAAACA